TACTTTTGTTTGTGTAGTTTTCAAAATGTTTGGTAATCTGTGTATTCCCTGAATTAGTACCCTCACATTTGTTCCTATTTTTTTTCATTGATGGCCTTCATAATTTTGGGATTCACATTTAGGTCTTTAATCCATGCTGAGTTGGTTTTTGTATAAGGCGTGAGGTAAAGGTCTTGTTTCAGTCTTTTGCATATCACTTTCCAGTTCTGCCAGCACCATCTGTTAAAGAGACTATCCCCTCCCCGTGCGATATATTTAGATAACTTTGTAAAAATTCAGTTGGCTGTATGTGGATGGGTTAATTTCTGGATTCTCTATTCTGTTCCATTGATCTATGTATCTTTCATTGTACCAGTTCCAAGCTGTTTTGACCAATGTAGCCATGTAATAAATTTTGAAGTTTGGGAGTGATAGGTTTCCAACCTTATTCTTCTTCTTAAGCAATACTTTGCTTATCCTGGGTCTCTTTCTTTTACATATAAAGTTTGTAATTGTTTTTCCATCTCTTTGAAGAATGTTGTTGGAATCTGGATTGAGATTGCATTATATGTATAAATTGCTTTGGGCAGTATGCAATATGCTTTTAAAGTCTATACAATATAAATGTTTCAAATAACTAAATCATTATAGGTAATCATTGTTTGCTACTTCCAACACTATTGTAGCCTGGTAAATGCATCACATTTACTTAACTGAAAATTTCAAACCATCAATGTAAACAATGTATTTAAAACTGTATTGCTAAGCCCATTACACAGTGACTGTAACAATGGGCACAAACATAGCAACAGTTGTGAGGATGGTGCAGGACTGGGCATTGTTTTGTTCTGTTGAACCTAGGTTGCTCTGAGTCAAAACCAACTTGAGATCACTCAGCAATTTATGATTAAATCCATTGCCATTGAGTCAATTCCAAACCCTAATGACTCTCTAAGAATATAACTACCTCATAGGATTTCCAGGAAGTGTGATGGCTCTGTAGAATAAGCACTGAACTGTAAAACCACAAGTTGGCAATTTGAGCTCACCAGCAGATAAGTGGGAGAAAAAGAAGACTTCCTGCTTACAGCCCCTGAAACTCTATACAGGGTAGCTATGAGTCAAAAACAAACTGCTCCATTTGCCTCTCATGGAGTGGTTGGTGGGTT